TGTAGTCATTGATATGCATTATTTTTCCTCTCTGTTATGTTACGACACTCTTCATCAAAGCACTGTCCTTCAGTTGATTTGGGGTTTTTTTGCAGACTCAGGGTCTCGTTGGCCGCGTCTTGTATGATGTTTTTACTCGCTTCCCATTCTCTGTTTATATCCTTGTGACTTTGTCTGTTTTCTAGCCTTCCTTTTATAATATTCTTTGTATTTTGCCTTTTTGCTGTTGTCTGCTAAGTTTTTTATTTCATATTTTTCAATTTAGGATCCTTTTTCTTTTTTAATGAAAAATACAGTTTGAAGTACCGCAAATAACTATTTTAAAAGAATTACGGTGACTCATTATTAGCATAAAATTTGGGTTATTCGTTAAATTCTATTAATAACTGAAATCTTTGTCAATATACAATTATATTTACGATTTCCAAATTTAAAATTATCAATAATTTTTGAATTCAATTTCTTGTGGCATAATTTGCAGAAAAGGTATAATTATTAAAGCAGAATGGAATCCACATGATTACTAAAACTGAATGCTTAATATAGAAAATATGAATACAAAATTATTATAACTGTGTGAAAAGTCTGTGTGAACTTTTAGAGGTTGTTAACTTCTGTGATAAACACGGGTTATTTATTATGAATTGTTCTTTTTCTTTGAAGTCAAATAAAAGAAACTGTATCTAAGTATATCAAGCTTTTTTCTGCATGATAGAAAATTGTATTATTTTTAACGTATTAATGAAAAATTTGAATGTTTATCGCATAATTAATAAAAATGGTGACAGGTTTGAAAAAGAGAAAATTTAATTTTACATTTGTTCTTTATAGATCTCTATAAATCCTACGATATGATTCTTCTAAACACATTTTATGTATAAAGTTAGAGAAAGAAACAACCAAACGATGATTTTGGTTCTTTAGATTTGGATCTTTGGTCCTTGACATTAGTCATTGGTTTTGTCTATTATTCCATATTTCTTTGTCTTTAGTGAGTTTATTCTATTTTTTATTTATATAAATCAACAGCCTTGAAGGCCTATGGATACATTTAATTATGTATTGATTGCATACATTTAATTTTATTACACAATTAAAATAAAAAATAAAGTTCATGCACTTCTTTACCATGTCTTGCCATTTCCTTCTGACCAATGGCTCTTTTGAATTGCCGATATTAGTTATACGAAGATCTTCGTATGGATTCTCTAACCATATTTATCGCGGTCTGATTTTACTTCTATTATTATTGGTTTACGGGACCTTTTAGCAACATCAACCTTTTAGTCATTCTTTTCTTTTTATTGTAAATGCAACTTATTGCAAAGGTGTATTGTTCATCTTCTAAAATTGTTCTTAAAGATCATTCATAAGAGAATCTAGAGAGGCTTATGTATATAACACACTGACTATGTGAAAATCATGCGTGGAGTGAGGCAAGGCTGTATTTTGTCTCCTCTAATCTTCAATTTGTACTCTGAGAGAATATTTATCGAAGCTTTACACGAAACTGAAAAAGGAATTCTACTAAATGGTTACCGGGTAATCAACATCAGATATGCGGGTGACACCATAGTAATTGCGGACAACTTAGAAGACTTACAAGTTCTTATGAACAAAATCACGTATTACAGTCGACAATATGGACTCAATATAAACGTTAAAAAGACAAAGCTTATGATAATTAGCAAGAAAAGGATAACAGAAGGGATAACCTGTCATGACAGGTTTAATAAGAGTTTCATAGATTAGTATCTTGGACCCATATATTTAGTGGATTTCGACATGTATATCTATTAGCAGCACTGAAAATGGAATATTTATTACGAAAACGTTCTGGAATCTAGCCCGAAAGTGTTGTTTTAAATAAATATACCTTCTATAAAGCATTTTTTAATAAAAAGTTTTGTGATATATGGTATACATTCGACTACAAAAAATGATCTTTTTCGTTGTGAATCTTGAATAATTCTAAAATCAAACTTAGATTAAATTAAATTTAGATAAAGAATCAAATTGTAGCTAGACAACCAAGACTGTAATAAAAGCTATTTTTATCTAGATTTTACTTTTTCGTTTGACTATTTTAGTTACATTTAAATTCAGACCGAAATGGAGAATTGTATAAATTGTTTGTGCAAGGCACACCTTGACCTCCTACACGCAATAGTGTTGCCGATTTATATAACAACGCATAAATGGATTCTTTCATTGTCTTGTTTTCGAGACTACTTGTTGCTAAATCCGCCTTTATTTTAAACGTTTTATTTTTTACGGGACTTTTACAGATCATAAAACTAATGAATTAACCACTTTTTTTATTTGGGGGTACATGACAACGATTTCCGTTATTTAGTGCATTTATAAAGTGTGGAAACGGTCTTTATCTCATGACTTAATTATTTTCAGCGTTAAATCTCTGACAGGTCGATTTTAATTTTTGTTTTTGAACCTTTTTGGAAAAAAATCACTTTTACCCCCACTATCTTAGCAGATTTGACGTCATCGATAATTGTTTAAATAGCAAGGGCATATGTTTATCTAAAACATTAAAAGGCCATATTTTTCTAAGTACAACTGTACCAACCTTATAACATTCAACCTTCAGTATACAGAGTGTAAAGGAAACCAGTGGTCGAATTTCTTAAAATTTATTTTACAAAGAAAATTATTAAAAAAGTCATTTCATATTAAAGACAAACAAATAACATAATTACAACAAATGCTCGAATTGAGCTCCTTGGTTTAATTGACAATATCCCAGACGTCCAATGAATTATTGGGTTATGTTTATTATAGCATCACTGGTGTAATTTATTGCATTTCAGTACGAATTCTCTGTTGGAGATCTACCAAATTGGTAGGTCGGTTTACATATTATATACCTTACTTTTTAAATAGAAAAGTCCATGGGATTCAAATCTGCAGACCTGGCAGGCCATTCAATGTAGTAAATTGTAAATCTAAATTAGTATAACTTGACATCATACATAAGGTGAAGTAGGGTATCTGTGGATGGAATATAAAAAGTTTTATTTTGAAGTTATTTGTGAAGTTAGTTGTGTTTCAAACCACTTTCTTTTTGTTTGTATATGTATATTAGTAATCTATTAATATGTTGTCTTCGATAGAACATGAAAAATGAATTGAGAGAGAAGAGTATTGACATTCTTCTTTCACATGTACAAGGGTATACAGTTACCCATTATTTTAGGGTAACTGTGGACCCTGACGGGAAGACTGTGGTCTGCCTGATAAACTTCACTTTGTAGTTATTATAATGAAAGCTGTAACTGTGGTTTAAAATAAAAGCAACATTAAATATGCAGAAACGAAAATTTTTATTAAAAACCATGAAACAACAAACAGCTAGGCAATATTTTTGAATCTCCTTAAATCCTCACAAAACGTAATGACGTTTTCATCTTCTGATTTTGGGTCGTTCAGTATTCCTAATATCTTATCATAAGCGAACAAGAAGGTCTCGTTTTTCTCACGAAATTTGAAGGCATTTTCCACACATCCTTTCAAACATTTGATTATCACGACTCTTTTCACTGCATTAATTTGACATACTAGTCCAATCGAATGAGTAACTGCTCGTTTGTGTATTCGTACCACAATATATTTTTCTGGTATTATATAATCATCAGTGTGTTCTTGATCTTGAGGTTCGGCACCTTCTTCCGTGTTGTCATTTGGAGCTTCATAGAGTCATCACTCTCTGCATAAACGACTTCTTCGGAATTTTCATCGTCACTACTTACTTACAAAATAATAGAAATTTGCTTTTTGCAAAATTCAGAAACCAATCTTCACCAGGCTTCCCCTCTCTAAAGGTCGTTTGCAGATTATTTTGCTGAACTTATACCTGTACAGTGTTGAGTATTTGTTTGTGAGGATGGTCCAAACCCCCCCACTTACTCATAGTTTTTACAGGAGAAGTCAAAATCTTCTTTAAAAAGGACAGTTCTACCACCTCCAGTCACACCTGTAATAGATTTTCATTGTTTTAAAAAGTAAAATCTATATAGTAGGTACCTAATTTTGTTATTACCTTGGGCATGTCTTGCAGCTGGTCTACCTTTCCACCCATTCACTTTTAATCCCAGTGTTGATTTTGTTATGCCATGCTCCATTGCAGCATTATTTAGTAAAGATTTTTCCGATTTCACATCTCTTATAGCCAGTTCTAATGTTTACATTGAATACCTACTTCCTACACCACGATTGATAGTCTTTTTAATATATAATTGATGGATTCGACCGTTACTTGATGGAAATTCATTTTATGTAACAATAAAACACTGAAAACTTTGTTTTCAAACTTCCACAAAATTTATTTTAACTCTTATCACTACAGCTGTTTCGGCTGATTGCCTTTCTCAAGTGATCTATTTTTGGGATGCGTTTACAATTTATAGTCTCTAATGAAATAGGTTGAGGAGGGGAGAACTGTTTGTCTCAAGTTGGTCATTGAGAATAATATCTGTGTTTTTTAATTTGTTGATTTCCATAGATTCTAACAAAGATAGCTTAAGGCCTTTATTTTGAATGTGAAGAATTTTAAATTTGTCATTAAAAGAATGATTATGATCTAGAAAGTGAAGTGCGTATGTCAAATCTGTTTTTCTATTATTGAAAGCCCTTTTATGTTCTGCTATTCGTTTATTAAAGTTCCTACCAGTTTGACCGATGTAAGTTTTTGGGCAGTCGCCACATTGAAGTTTGTACATGCCACTATTTAAGTGTTTTTTATTTTGGCTATTGTTATGGGGCTGACTTGTTTTCTTGCCATATCTTTCACACACACTTCACATAGAAAAATCTTGACCCGATTTCAACTCGTGTCTGAAGTTTAACGCTCTACCCATTGCTCTAACAAAGCGTTCGGCAAAAATTTATTTTTTTGTTAATTTAATCATTACACATATTATATTTATGTCTGCTGCAACCATGCTCGATAGTTTTTATTATATTATGCTTCCCTTTGTCCATAGGTACACGGCACAACCATTGATAAAAACAATATTCGAGGGAGGTTTTGCCACTTGCTTTGCATACGGTCAAACAGGATCCGGCAAGACGCATACCATGGGTGGTGATTTCAGCCAGGGCAAAAATCAAAACTGTCAAAGCGGTATCTACGCGATGGCTGCCTCAGATGTTTTCCGATTGGTGAATTCCTCAAAATATAGAAATTTGAATCTCGTGGTATCTGCTAGTTTTTTTGAAATATATTCAGGTAAGAACAGTATATTTTCAATATATTTATAAATTGGCGACATAGAATATTTTATAAAACAGAAAAGTAGAGGATTTACATACATGAACTAGTATAGGCTTTTATAATTGCTGTGATATGTCGCATCGATTGACGACATTCATAATCGACGACAATTCATAAGAGAACTGTGAACACTCCGAGAGTCAAGACAGCCGGAAAAAGCAAGTCCAAATTCAAGGCGATGTTGATTGTTTTCTTCGATGTACGTTTGGGATAAGTACTGAAAGATTATACACTTAATCAATTTAAAGGTTTTACAAAGACTCAGACAAAAAAATTCGGAAAAATAGGCCCGAAATGTGGAAAGAGAACTTTTGAACTCTCCATCACTATAACTCGTTGGCTCACAAAAAACCAGTCATGAAGCATCCGTCCTATTCGCCAGATTTAGTACCCTGTGATTTCCACTTGCTTCCACAAATTCAGCTCTATAGAAGGTTCGCATGGAGCGGTGTAGGAATGCCTAAGGAGAGTATATTGAAAAATTAGGTACTAAATAAAGATGCTTTATGAACAGTTTCAGATTTTAATTACTAGACTTCGTATAGACTAAATGAGATACTAAACTAAAAATGAGTTTATAACTAAAGGTATAAAGATGAAAAATGGAACAGAGAGATTGAACGATGGATCCCATTTGAAGTGCATAGGGGAAAAACCCCGTTAGTCAATATTTTCAAGAAATGGGCTGATGACGCTATGCAGTGGCTTTAAGCGAATAGTTTTTTAAACATTTATTAGCTTTTGTACAAAACACCGTCGATCTACTAAAATCCACGTTAGAAAATATGGGGAAAAACCCTGTCAGTCAATGCTTGTAGGTCGAGTTCGGAATGTTATGAGATATTTGCGAGCAGCGTATCACGAGCTTGGGCCGGATTGTTTGTGCAAAAGACTTAAATGCTTTCAGAATATACTAGAACAGGGACGAAAAGAATCATACAGAATATAAAATTTCGTACGAATCATGTACTTTCAACTCAGCAAACAATTTGTTATATGTATGATGAGTCTGTGGGAAAAAAGGCGAAGATGATGTTCCATGCTCCATGTTTCGGCATTTTGTTTTTAAAATTTTGCCCCTTGAAGTGCAAGAACTCTGTATATTTAGCGACTCATGTGCGGTCAAAATAAAAATTATACATTTATCCGGTTTTTATATCATCTGGTAACAAAAGATAAACGTTTTAAAACAGTTAAGATGATATTTTCGATAAGAGCGAACTCTTACATGGAATGCGATCGGAATATGAGCATTGTTAAGGTTCTGGAGGGAGGTTCTAAGGAATACTCGGGTAAAACACTCCATTTACAGTGATCGATTGCGAAGTAAATGTAGTTTTTCAAAATTGGACTGCTTACCTATCATCACTTTATCCCCGAAAATGTTCATTCTCCACTAGATCGATTCTTGTGTTCTATAAACCTACTTTTTTTGGACGTTATGCATCCTCAGTCCTTGAAAAAAAACCTTGCAAAAAATTAAAGAAAAATCAAGGCGCAGCCACTGCAGTAATTACCCCGTTACAAAATTTGAACAGTGGAAAACTCCACCAGCTGCAAGATATCGCGACCTTCTTCATTTATCCCAGTATTTGGAAAACCCCAAAGCAAAGCTTTTTTAAAAATGATGACGAATACGCTCCAGAGTTGAAAATACAATAAAATGGTTGTTTTATCGAAAATTAATTTTTTTTTGACTGACGGGGTTTTTCCCCTGTGCCCTTTATTTACTTACAATAATTTTTTATTATCTTTTCGGTACATATTTAATGTATACTAAATCATTTAGTAAAATTATTTTGCATACTTATGAAAATCCTGTCGTTGAGATCATCAACGTTATCAGAAATTGCAAACATATACTTCAATGCTGAAATATTCTGACGCAGAAAATAATCTCAAAGATAAAGTCTATCGAGATTTTTTACAGGGTAAAAATAATTTATCGTAATCAAAGACGAAACGAAAAAATCATTTTTACAATGTTTACGTTTTTTATCAAATATTGCTTCCTTTTTAAAAATAATTGTTGTGTTTATACCGGATGAAGTTAGTTTATTAACGGTTTTATTGGGAATTAACGACACTGCAAAATTTTGAAATATTTTCTTTTGGTGGTCTTATTATGTTTTTATCTGGAGATCGATACGCCAAAATGAAGTCTTTTAAATTATGGTTGATAGCCAATAATAGGGTTGATAAATATCCAAGATGCAATAACATAATTTTAAAAAAAAGTTATTAAATATAGTGTTGCTAATGTTGTAAAATAAGTTATTGTTTTTGTCGTAGTTTTGCAATATTTGATGTTGGATATTCCCATTTAAATACTAATTCCTTTACTTCTCCCATATGTGCTTGACCATAGGTCCCACACAGATGACCATTGACCATTACGCTACTCAAGGTCTCAGATGAAACCGATTTCTCGAATTTTGAGCACACTTTCAACCAGACATCCTGTGCAATCAGCGTTCGTAACTTCAATGACACACAGACACACGTGCTTAAAAGTATGTGATTCATTGGTCACTGAAAAATAATCTCAGCTCTACCAACTTTATACACTAGTGGCCAATTGTTCGAACGCTAATCAAAACTTGATTGTAATCAAATATTTAATTAAAATCAAATACGTCACATTTTGAGGTTATGGTCTTTTCTTCTTCTTGATATGCCTATCCGTTACGAATGTTGACGATCATGATGGAAATATTTATCTTATCTGCAGCAGCGCAGCTGCACAGCTTTTCTATTTATGCATTTTAAAGTAGACGACTTTAAAATGATATTGCCAATATTGTTGAGTTGCGCTCCTGGGACGACTTTACTTATAAGATAGTTCATTCGATTACATGAAATCAACTTTAACTTGAGAATATCCGTCAGAAAAAAATCATAGCATGTAATTCGTCTTTAAAAAGACAAACACATGACATGATGACAGTAAAATTCTCCTGTTAGTGATTCCATAGTAAATTATGAGGGAAAAACCAGGAAAAAAACCTCATAATACTATCCCAACATTGTAAGTATTTGTTCGTGAATTTAGTTTACTTTCAACAAACATCAAATTCTGATTTTATATGTTACGTTATTTAAAAACATAAATGATGTATCCTCTATATGTTACTGACTTACTAATACTGGTATTTTCTTATTAATAACTTCCTCTTTCAATATTGGTAACCAGATCCTACTACATTCTGCCGAGGAATTTGCGACACAATTGGCCTCATTTAGCATAATTAGAGCCGCTTCTTTGATTTTTCTTTTTTTACCATCCGTTTCTTTTAAGACTATATTTGAATTATTCCATTGAACCCTATGTTCATTATCCCATGCGTGTTTACAGATTTGAGATCTATCAAATTCTTTATTTTTAATATAAGATTGATGTTCACTTATTCTAACATTTAATGGCCTTGATGATTCACCTAAATAAAACTGATCGCATTCACAAGGTATTTTATAAATGCAATTCTTTGTCCTTTCTTGTTCATTGTTGGAAATTGAAACGTCAATAAACGTATTTTTATCTTTAATTGTGGCTTATTCCCAGTTTAATAGTAATTAATTTACAATGCTACAAGAAAATAGCTTCACTTATATTAACCTTTTTTACCATACGATCAGTCTTAAACAATTTCATTTAAAAACGAGGTCTTATATTAGCTACAAATATATACAATATTAACATTTTAGTTATCTTAAACTAAATCTTATTGTCGTATTATATGTCTTGCTTTTCATATTTAAATATTTAAAATGTCATTATTTATATTTTTCTGCTTAATTAAAAAAACATTAAGACGCATCTACTATTTTTGTTTACTTTAATCATCCATATTAGATAGAATATATTTGCATTAAGATTACTTAGTGACTAATACATTTATTTTTGGCTAGGTTCGTAATAATTTCATTTATACTCATAATCATGTGAAAGTACGTCACATGTGTTCTATTGTTTTTAAAATGTTTATCAAATCTCGAAGCCATATCGTTTGAATAAATTTTAAACTTGATCTATCTAAATTCATGTCAAAAAAAAAACGGAAAATGATAGTCATAAATCTTTTTTTATATTTCGAATCCAAATTTGAGTTCATTGTTCTTTAATTACTATTAAACTGGGAATAAGCCACAATTAAAGATAAAAATACGTTTATTGACGTTTCAATTTCCACTTCGGAAATCGTTTCTCAAAATACAAACAGTAAATTAAACAAATTTTGTTTTTTTGTTACATAGTGAAAAATTCTTCTAATAATTTAATTTTATCTGACTCATTTATATTGACAATTCAGACATACATTATGCATTTTAAAGTAGACGACTTTAAAATGATATTGCCAATATTGTTGAGTTGCGCTCCTGGGACGACTTTACTTATAAGATAGTTCATTCGATTACATGAAATCAACTTTAACTTGAGAATATCCGTCAGAAAAAAAAAATCATAGCATGTAATTCGTCTTTAAAAAGACAAACACATGACATGATGACAGTAAAATTCTCCTGTTAGTGATTCCATAGTAAATTATGAGGGAAAACCAGGAAAAAACCTCATAATGCTATCCCGACATTGTAAGTATTTGTTCGTGAATTTAGTTTACCTTCAACAAACATCAAAATTCTGATTTTATATGTTACGTTATTTAAAACAACATAAATGATGTATCCTCTATATGTTACTGACTTACTAATACTGGTATTTTCTTATTAATAACTTCCTCTTTCAATATTGGTAACCAGATCCTACTACATTCTGCCGAGGAATTTGCGACACAATTGGCCTCATTTAGCATAATTAGAGCCGCTTCTTTGATTTTTCTTTTTTTACTATCCGTTTCTTTTAGGACTACATTTGAATTATTCCATTGAACCCTATGCTCATTATCCCATGCGTGTTTACAGATTTGAGATCTATCAAATTCTTTATTTTTAATATAAGATTGATGTTCACTTATTCTAACATTTAATGGCCTTTATGATTCACCTAAATAAAACTGATCGCATTCACAAGGTATTTTATAAATGCAATTCTTTGTCCTTTCTTGTTCATTGTTAGGTTTGGTTTTGGACAAAATAGATCTCAACGTGTTTGTTGTTTTGAATGTTGTTGAAATGTTGAATTTATTTCCTATCCTTTTAAGTTTTTCTGATAGTCCTTTTATGTACGGTATTGTTATTTTTCTCATATTATTCCTTGTGTATGCTGTAGGATCTCGTTCTAAGTTGTTCTGTTCTATTCGATCGATTGTTGAAAATTCCTTATTTATAAACGATAAAGGATAATCATTTTTTAATAAAACAGATGTTAACAAATGTTTCTCCTCCAAGAACGAATTTTCATTAGAACAAGTAATTTTGGCTCTATCGTATAAGGATTTAATTATTCCCTTTTTTACATTAATATTGTGATTTGATTTGAAATTTAAATATTTATTGGTGTGTGTTGGTTTTCTATACACCTGAGTCTCATATCCAGTATCGTTCTTAGAGATTAAAATGGATTAAAATTAAAATTAAAATTATATGGCCTCATGGATCAGAGTTGTTGGACACATTCCTAAATGATATAAACGATAAAGAAGAGACAATAACATTTACCATGGAAAAGGAATATAATAACACGCTACCTTTCCTGGATGTTTTAATCTCTAAGAACGATACTGGATATGAGACTCAGGTGTATAGAAAACCAACACACACCAATAGATATTTAAATTTCAAATCAAATCACAATATTAATGTAAAAAAGGGAATAATTAAATCCTTATACGATAGAGCCAAAATTACTTGTTCTAATGAAAATTCGTTCTTGGAGGAGAAACATTTGTTAACATCTGTTTATTAAAAAATGATTATTCTTTATCGTTTATAAATAAGGAATTTTCAACAATCGATCGAATAGAACAGAACAACTTAGAACGAGATCCTACAGCATACACAAGGAATAATATGAGAAAAATAACAATACCGTACATAAAAGGACTATCAGAAAAACTTAAAAGGATAGGAAATAAATTCAACATTTCAACAACATTCAAAACAACAAACACGTTGAGATCTATTTTGTCCAAAACCAAACCTAACAATGAACAAGAAAGGACAAAGAATTGCATTTATAAAATACCTTGTGAATGCGATCAGTTTTATTTAGGTGAATCATCAAGGCCATTAAATGTTCGAATAAGTGAACATCAATCTTATATTAAAAATAAAGAATTTGATAGATCTCAAATCTGTAAACACGCATGGGATAATGAGCATAGGGTTCAATGGAATAATTCAAATGTAGTCCTAAAAGAAACGGATAGTAAAAAAAGAAAAATCAAAGAAGCGGCTCTAATTATGCTAAATGAGGCCAATTGTGTCGCAAATTCCTCGGCAGAATGTAGTAGGATCTGGTTACCAATATTGAAAGAGGAAGTTATTAATAAGAAAATACCAGTATTAGTAAGTCAGTAACATATAGAGGATACATCATTTATGTTGTTTAAATAACGTAACATATAAAATCAGAATTTTGATGTTTGTTGAAGGTAAACTAAATTCACGAACAAATACTTACAATGTCGAGATAGTATTATGAGGTTTTTTTCCTGGTTTTCCCTCATAATTTACTATGGAATCACTAACAGGAGAATTTTACTGTCATCATGTCATGTGTTTGTCTTTTTAAAGACGAATTACATGCTATGATTTTTTTTCTGACGGATATTCTCAAGTTAAAGTTGATTTCATGTAATCGAATGAACTATCTTATAAGTAAAGTCGTCCCAGGAGCGCAACTCAACAATATTGGCAATATCATTTTAAAGTCGTCTACTTTAAAATGCATAATGTATGTCTGAATTGTCAATATAAATGAGTCAGATAAAATTAAATTATTAGAAGAATTTTTCACTATGTAACAAAAAACAAAATTTGTTTAATTTACTGTTTGTATTTTGAGAACGATTTCCGAAGTGGAAATTGAAACGTCAATAAACGTATTTTTATCTTTAATTGTGGCTTATTCCCAGTTTAATAGTAATTAATTTACAATGCCACAAGAAAATAGCTTCAGAACAATATTCATTGTTCTTGTTATTAATGTTATTATTTAGTTTATTGATGAAAAAATGCAAGTCTTAAGCAATCTTCTCAGATATTGTATCTCCTTAAAGATTATGTCGTTGAATAATGTAACTGTTCCTCAGTATTTTTGTTTTATTTCTTACACTTTGTTGTGTATTGTTTTATCTTCTTCTTGTAGTCTTCTTGTATCTTACACCCATGTGTGGTGCATTACAAGGCTTTTATAAAGTTCAGCCCAACATGGGGAATAGGAAAAATTAATTAGCCCAAAAAAAAAACTAAAAAGTTGAACGCCAAAGTGTGACTCTTATTACGGTTAGTGGCTAGCTTAGCTAAGTCCTGTGCTCTGCGTAAATAAATTACCTTTCCAGTGGTCTAAAGGAGGTGAATCAATAAAATTCACTTTGACATATTTACTTTTTCCTGCAAAGAAATGAAAGTATCGTTTACCTTTAACCAATTTAAAAAATATTGAAGTATTGAAAATATGTTTTATTCGCTCCGTGCATGACCATGGTAGGGGTACATTGAAACGACGCCAGCGTGCATAGCGGCGAAATATAACAAAATTGGAATATTGGACAAAATATTTTTACGCATAAATTTTATCAAAAATGTGTGCAAATACATGTTGCGTATTTAATTGTGCTAATAATAGCAAAAACAGTGAGTGTAGTTTTTATAGGTTCCCAACGATTACATATAAATTAGAGAAAAGAAAAAGATAAATTCCTGCTATTAATATGAAAAAGTAAATATCACATAATTTCATTTTTACGCAATTGAAATAGGAAAAATTTAAATAATTTATCTTGAATGATATTTCATAAGGCTTCAAGCTAACTGCAGATGACTTTAGCTTTTATATCATAACTTTTACTATTATTGTTTTTAATTATATGCTCTTTTGCGTGAAAAACTTGATTTGTCAGTACTAGATTTTTCCCTTTCTCTTACGTTTGGAGTTGAAAAGATATATTATGATGAATTTTGAGAAACCCAGTTTTTAATACTACATTTATTTTGTACATAAACTGAAAAAATATAGTTAAAAAACTAATTTATTAATAATTGTCAATTTCGCATGTATTTAACAATGTCAAACATATGTCATATGTTTAACCTGAAAATTGGGACTCCAAAATTGTCAGAAAAAGGCGGTAGATGTCGTGTCAGTCACGCACGGAGCGAATATTTCTTCTTGGTTTATGAATAACCACTATCAAAATAACTATGAACTATTAACCAATTCATCTATTCCATTAAATTATTATTGCCTAGCGTACTTACCAAACATTTTTTTTAGGTAAAGTTTTCGATCTACTGAACAACAAAGCGAAACTCCGAATATTAGAAGATGGAAAACAGCAGGTACAGGTGGTTGGACTGGAAGAGAAGGTAGTTAATAACGTCCAGGAAGTTCTGGGATTTATTCAAAAAGGCAACCAAGCACGCACATCAGGTCAAACGTTCGCCAACAATAATTCATCACGATCCCATGCCGTGTTCCAAATTTATTTAAGGTCAAACAACAATATGTCAAAGGTAATCATTATCTTTTAATTGAACATACACTGCTCGAAAGACCGGTAAAATTGAATTGTTTGTGATTAATTGTAATTGTCAAAGATTTATTGAATATCTAAGGGTAAGAAAACATTCCAAAGATCGAAATAAGTATAATTCAGAATTGAATCCTAAACATTTAATGCCATGTAATTGTCACTCTACTTGTTGATCCATGCGTTTCTATTCTTCGAAAAAAGGTTGTTGTAGTTCATGATTTGTTTGTGTATCGATTTAATCAGCCCTAATGCATTTGCCCAGGACCTTACAGACATGTTCTGTGGGATTTAGATCCGGGCTATATGCTGGCCAATTCATAGTTCTGATCTAAACCATATTTTAATGAACCCTACCATATTCACAATATTTGTACGTATTCATACATAAAAATGAAGTAAGTACCAATGAAAACTATATAATACAACGTGGTGTACTAAAGAGTAGGATATTACCTCAGATGTTATTTGTTTTTTTTTCCATAATCACTAAATCTACGCGAGCTTCTAGCGGTTTCATACTGTATTTTTCTCAAAGCGGAACTGTGAATAACGGTTTATTATATCTTATCTAAAACCGTTCTCGCCTGTGTTGAGGAGATTTTCACACTGGTATATTGTCCAATCAAGATATTCCCTCGCAAATCCAGGAAATAAGCTTTTCCGAGATCTTAGTCTACTTGGCTGAACTTGGTAGTTATACAATGTGTGTCTTCGATCCGTCTCCTGCTTCTTTCGTTCTATCTCTGACGTGGCCTGTCTTCTGATAGGAGGTGGAGCGATTCCAACTATAGGGAGACCCCTTCAAAAGGTGTCCGTTTCAGGCAACCAAATATTATATGAACCGGTTTATTTAACGCAACATCGAAGTTTTTAGCGTGAGTAGATTTTTCCTACACTGGTGCTCCAAACTCGGCGGCAGAAAAACATAATACTAAGGCAGAAGACAGAGAGTGTGTAGTTGTGCTCTCCATTTTGTATTTGATAGTTTGCGGATGATATTATTTCTGGCGCTTACTTTTTTCTTGACATCTTGACAGTGATATCGATAAGACGGAGTTCTATCCAGATGTATATATATATATATATATATATATATATATATATATATATATATATATATATATATATATTCGGTTTTATAACGTCTTACGACGTTGTCCGACTCCCAAACACCACTGTATTCTGTCTTGAGTTAGGTCTTCGTCCAGATTTCGAGCGCTAATCGCTTTCCTAACTCCCAGGTTCCAGCTCTGTGGTGGTCTTCCTCGTTTCCTCTTCTCTGGGGGTTGCCACATCATCGTTTTTTTAGGCAATCAATATTTCTAGTTTTCTCTCAATATCCTTAACTATAGTGCCCTCTATACCCATTTGTTGTTTTATCTCTTCATTCCGTATTCTGTCGGCTCTTGATAGTCTAATCGATCTTCTGATGGCATCCATTTCCGTGGCTTCGACCTTTTTCTTATATTTCTCGGTTATTCTCCATGTCTCAGCTCCATAAAGTAGGCTAGTTTTAACCATTGTCTCATAGATGTTCCATTTTCTATTCTTTGATATTTCTTTACTTCATAGAACTACATTCTATCCAGATGTACGCCGAGATATTTTGGCGTCTCATTGTGTTCCAACGTCTGACCACGCCATTCCACTTCCAGTGTCCTTCGGGCATACTTGTTTCTAAGGTGGAAAGCATACACCTAGGTTTTTGTCGGATTGGTTTTCAGATGGTTTTCTTCATAGTGTAGTGCTGTCTTTTAGGGCACCTGTCAGTTTTACTTCGACTTCATTGAAGGTACTTCCCTGAGCTGCTACAACTGTATCATCCGCTTAAATAAACTGTCTTGTTTGTTCGTTTTTGGGTTGGTCGTTGGTGTAAATGTTGTATAGCATCGGCACAAGGACACTTCCCTGTGGGAGTCCATTTTTTTTATTCCTTCACCGACTATTATTGGACTGGAGCGTTACGTAGAAGCGTCTATTCCGAAGAAGACATTTCTTCATGACAATGTTATATGACAACACCTCGTTTTGTCATCACCTACGTATCTTACGGATCTTGTAAAGCACTAGTCTTCTGCATTATTCTTTTCCAATTTTCACAGTCTGTCTGAACCTAACATCTTTAGGACTTTTGATTTCAGCCATAAATGTGTGCACTTTAAATTTATAAATATGAAAGTGTCGAGTTCTATTCAACACTTCATTAACAAAGGACCACATGGGGTCATCTGGACATAAGCTACATGCGCAAGATAAAATCGTTGCAAACTTCAAGTATATCACTTTTTGCGAACATAATATGTATGTGAAACTTTAAAGAATCTCCAATATATCTTTTACTCAAAACTTAATTTTATATTTTTATTACTTTTACAGATTCACGGAAAGTTTTCACTGATAGATTTAGCTGGTAACGAAAGAGGTGCTGATACTTCGTCGGCCAACAGGCAGACAAGGATGGAAGGTGCAGAAATTAATAAATCATTATTGGCATTGAAAGAATGTATCAGAGCACTTGGTCGTAAAGGGGCCCACTTGCCTTTCCGAGTTAGCAAACTTACTCAGGTAGGAAAATGTTATTTAGTTAAATTAAATATGTGTTCACATATACCACGATTACCTAACCTACGATAGTATGACCTTTGTTTAGGATTAAACTTGAGAGGTCGCTGGTTAAATGATATTGGATAAATAATTATAAAGAAAAATGCAATATTTGTTTGTACGTAAATTAGCGAAAATAGCAAATATTTGTAGCAAATATATATAAAATAAAATGTTGTAATTCAAATAACAATTGGCAGATTTAATAACTTATTGTCAACTCTATATGAGATTCACTTACCTTTTGTCTATGGTTGGGCAAATCGACTAGGGGGTTTTGTTTTTAGGACCTCCGTGAATAGCAGTAAATTAAGCTTAAAATGACATTTTAAACTTTCTACACAAAAGACGGCTACGTTTCCTTAAGTACTCTGAAGTGTTTGGGTTAATAAATGTTTCCCAAAAACATGTTGTTTTTTCAGACAAGTGAATTCTCAGAACTTGACAATAATTAATCAGCCAATTTGAGTTCGAGAAATTAAAACATAGACTAAAGCCATATTACAATTAGCTAATATATTATGATTAAATAAGATTTAAAACTAAATAAGGTCATATTCGGAATTATAAAAATAAAATATTTAAATCACTTGACACTTTTCCAAACATTCTCCGCCCCAAAACGAATGTTATTTAAAAACAACTACAATGATCAGAATAAAAACGAACACTAAACTATTAATATAATAATAATAATAATAGAAATGAAGAAAAATATAGTTGTTAACAAATAGGTAGTGGACAGATCTTCACCACCGGACGTTGTAGGATGCCATCTGAAGCTGTGCTCAGAGTAACAACCAGTGCAATACCGTCGGTGCCGTAATGCAACTCAATGATTCTGGCCAACTGCCAGCGAAGAGGAGGCTGTTGTTCATTTTTTATGAGGACTAGAGAACCTTTAACGAGAGATGGGGTTGGACTATGCCATTTAGATCGCTCTTGAAGAGAATGAATATACTCTTTAGACCATCTTTTCCAAAAATCCCCCTTTATCCTTTGAATTAACTGCCAACGATTCAGACGGTTAATCTTTAAAGCGCTTAGATCTGGATCGGGAATTGAATCCACTAAGGGTTCAAAAATTAAAAAATGACCAGGAGTCAGTGCCTGCAAGTCATTAGGGTCAGAGCTTGCTGCAAAGGACGAGAATTAAGAACTGCCTCGATTTGAGTCATAAGAGTATAGAACTCCTCATAAGTCAAAATTTTTGTACAAAAAAAAGGTACATATGGTTCTTGAATGATTTAACCCCAGCCTCGGCTATCCCGTTAAAATGAGGGTCACCGGGCGGATTAAAATCGCAGGTAATAGAAAGAGTCTCAGCAGCAGATCGAGCTAGTTTAATGATTTCGTTGCTAGCTCCCTTAAAATTGGTACCTTGATAGTTAGACACTTACCGCGTCGAGATACAAATCTACGAAAGGCAGCCAAAAAGGACTCCGAACTAAGATTTGAAGTTACTTCCAGATGAATGGCCTTTGTACTCGTACACACGAATACACAAACATATCCTTTATATGTTTTTGCACCTCTATGTTTGGACATTAATAACGAAAATGGTCCTGCAAAATCCACACAAACAGACAGGAAAGCACGTAACGGAGTAACTCGGACAGTTGGCAAGTTTGCCATAAAGGGGTTGTAAGATTTAGGTCGGCATCTAAAACAACGAATGCACTTCGACAAACAGCGATGAATGGCACTTTTCGGAGACAGAATCCCAAAAGCGCTGAAGTAATAAATAATGCATAGTCTTTAAACCAGGGTGCAGATGAGTTTGACGAGTCCATTAGATGATTAAATCGGTCAGACGACGAGTTTTTGGCAATAGCAATGAATGTTTTACATCAAAAGACAACTTAGACTTTTGTAATCGACCTCCTACTCTCAAAAGACCATATTCATCAATAAAGAGTGCGAGTTTACGAAAAGGTTTGGGTAACAGCGAATTTTGTTGAATTTTAAGAAAAATATCCGAAAAAACGTCAGCTTGTACGTGCTTAATAATGTATCGTAACGCAGATTCCATCTCTAAATGACTGTTCAGTTGCGATGGTTATAGCCAATCTTCATTAGTGAAGACGGCACTAGAAGAAGAAGATTGTACTCCGAATTATCTACACGGGAATGCAAAAAATGAATTTCAAGTGACATTCCAACCTTTAAACGATGAAAAGCATTGAGCATTTTGTTTTTGTCAATGTTTCGTATATAACATAAATTTTAATCAAATAGGTACCAGTAGAAATCACTATTCAATACCACAATAATTTTTGTATATACCAACTTATGTTTTTAGGTGCTAAGAGATTCCTTTGTGGGTACCAATTCACGAACGTGCATGATAGCGATGATCTCACCAGGCGTTAATTCTTGTGAACACAGTTTAAACACACTGCGGTACGCCGATCGAGTAAAAGAATTAGTGGCGGGCGATTTGCAAACAAACAGTGGATCCGATAACGAACAGGACGAAGATGGTGATTTGTTGCAACTGAGGTCGCTAAACGAGAACGATATGACACCAGAAATGCTCAACCTGCACCAGGTAATATATCATTTTTAAACATTTTTAATATTGTAACCTTAATGCGTAACATTAACAATTTGGTATACAAATTTATATCCAAGGCCGAGTTGCTCATGTCGGAGAGATTGGGCGTGGTTCTTTTAACCATATAGAAGCTGTTCAACCTTATAGAAGCAATTAGGCAATGTGAAATTAAAATGTAATTGGGCACCAACCCTTTGATTTATTCTCGTAGAGAAACGAGTCAAAAAGAAATTGCAAAGAAAATTTTACGATAAAACTATACTTTTATTATTTTTTTTGTAAAAACATTATTAAAAGAATGTACGTTAAAAAAAATACGTCATTCCAGAAAGATATTAAAATACCAATTTGGGTTTACAGTATTCAATTACCATGAGTAGTGTTTATACAAAACTAAAATTAAAATAGTATCGAAGAAAATAAACATTTTATATCATGCCATTAGATCATGAATTAGTAGTTTATGAAAACAAAATTATGCTTTATCCCAAATTTCGAAATTCGTTCACATAAAAAATACACTTATTTATTATCTGGAATATCTATTATAATTAAAATATCAGTAATAAAGCACTTAACTGTTTTTTTTTAGTTCGTAAATATTCCTCGCTTGTTCAATAAAGAAAAAATATGAAATCGGTACAACCTGATTTATCCAACTGCTGGTGGTTATGGAGAAAAGAATATAATTTATTTCTTTTTACTCTCTAAGTAGTTGGCTGAATGAAACCATTGAGTATGAGTCCATTTAATATCAACATCTCGGGCCAAATAAACATATTTTAGCAATATTCTAGCCTCCCCGATAAGGGTCTTACCTCTTTAAGAGACCACTTAAACAAAATAACGTTTAAACTGTTTGACGTTCTAGAAGATAAAGATTGATGCCAGCGATTTTCGCTCGGGAATCGGGAGGAGTGACAAGTTACCGAACGGTCTCATCTATCGGATATGTTAGGAATTACGGTAGGGTCCTTGAGGTAATTAAAAGCACCAGGCGGATAGATGGCGTCTCTTCTTATGGTGCCCTATCCAATTAGTGGATGTTTTCGACAATTCTGGCATACTCCTCTCGATCTTGTGTGGCTCTAAAGAGTGCATGGACATCGAGGTTTGTCAAATCCCTTATGTTTTTAAGCCATGAGTATTTTCTTTCTTCCGATGCCCCGTTTTCTTTCTATCTTCCCTTCCATAATAAGCTTTAAGAACTGGTACTTGTAATTTCGAAATATTGGCGACGTTCAAGTACTTGGAGGGGATACGAGAAACGATCGTGCGCGAGTAGCGAAGAAATCTTGCATTTTTTACTGCACATTTCATAGATTTCATAAATTCATATTGTGAATTGTCATAATTCATATTCGTTTGTTTATTTACACCTTCTGTCACTGAAGAAAATGGGATTTAGGAAATGCTGTGTTATAAATTGTAAAAATACAACAAAAAATTGTCAATTTAAGTTTTATTCGTTTCCAACTTCGAAACACAAAGCTACTACAAAGAGAAAAGTGGATTTATATCATAAAAAAGCATAAGTAACATAATCTAAATTTAACATTATTCTTGCGCCCGATTTTAAAATCAGTTTGAAATAGATAATAAATAAAAGTTCACTTTTAAGTGTAAATTTTAGTTTCATAACACTCACTTCTAAGAGTTCATTTTAACCCAAAAATCAAGTTTAATGTTTAAAAAGTTTACAAAAATGCGTCAAGTTCAAGTTTTTCTGAAGATGCATTAAGATATATTCGATGTCCAAAAGTTTACAGAAAAAGAATTAATTGTTCAAACCAATATGATGATATTATGGGCTTAACCTGCTAATTTATGCATTTATGCATTAGCATTATTTATAATAATTTATTTTTCTTAATTCTTCCACATAATTCTTCCATCATTTTTTGACATTTGTCACTACTAAAGCTTTTCCCTTTGACTCAGACTTGGTTGAAAAGTTATTTGGTGATTTACTTTCTCAAATCCAGTTTTTATTATTGCATCCATATTAACAGTAATGCTGTAATTTAATAATATATTTATTTGTATTTACACTACTTACAACGTTTACCTTTTAATAACATACCGACATCTTACTTTTTCTTCTTATTCTTTTTTGGGGCTACGTCCTTGACAGTTATCCGGTAACCTCGATCTAACATGAAAGCGCAGTAAATTTTGCTGATTTACGACACCAGGTGTCGCTGTTCCGAACTTGCATGGTCCCAATATGATCCAGATAAGCAGCATAGATTAGAGGAGGGATAGATAACCCTACTGCTACTACTTCTGTACAAAAAAATGTGATCATCAGCGCCACGTTGAAGTGTTGTGGTACTAATCAATATTTTTATCATGTTGGAGAGCTTGCTAATTGACAAACGCCTTGTGGAGTTGGTAATATTGTAAACGCGCGAAAATTGAATTTCTATAAAGCGCGGGAAATTTTGAATTTCGTCCTAACGTTCATTTCATATATAGGGTATTCAACCAATTTACGCCTCTAAAGGATTATTCATAGTATACCTGATTTATTGTCCTTATATTTACTAATCCTTTAGAGGCGTAAGTTGGTGAATACCCTATACTCGCGATTTGAGGAAAGCAAATAATGCTCAAGACTAGATCAACAGAGATAACTCTAATCCTGTTTATATATTCGAATAAATGTGACAAATTAGTTCTGAAAGTTTTCAGAGACATTAGATTATACCAATAATTTTTATTTAATCAAAATCAAAACATGTAGTAATTAATACATAATATTAAATTAATATGCTATAAGAGTAGGAATCATAGTTTTAAAATTTGTAAGCAAAAGCAAAGACTATCTAAAGGCATATTGGTAGTTTGATTTAAACTGTCCTTGCCGTTAACCTATCTGTAGTTGGTTTTGATCTGGGAAACAACAGACTAAAGGCTAATGTAACACTAACTTCTAACTTAACTTAAAAAAAACAAATATCCTTATACCACACCTTAACTAAACAATTAATATTCTAATCCTAAATACGATATTTCTTGATCTAACAGCACTTTTAACTAAAACACAAAAAACAAATATTGAATTAATAATTAATCATCAACATCAATTAATATTCGACATTCGAGAATTATGACAATAACATTCGACAGACGACAGTTATGAAGACATCGCTATTTTAGCACAAAACATTAATAATGTTTTGTGATCTACAGAATCTACCGATAATAGCGCTTGGTTGTGTGTTCTGTAACTAATTCAATGATTACATTTTACGGATTGAACTTGAACCCCCCTGATAAGCAGTTTTCTTTTTTTTATTATTGGCAGCAATTCTCGTTCTCAGCCCATTCTATTTAATACTTCGACATTTGTTGTGTGACCATGTTGTGATATGTTGTGAATTTGATTTGATAGATGGCGTGAGCAATTTTATTAAAAAAAATTACTCGAAATTATAATGAATTTTCTGAAACTTTTGAAACGGTTACAATATAGTCTGACCACTAAAGAAAGCAAGAATTCACACGTAGTTGATCTTGTTCGTGTCATCTGACACATTTGCTTACAGCTCATTTTATAGATCTCAGTAACAAGGGCCTAAACGGGTTTTAGATGTTTTTATTTTCGTTAAAGTTGTGCTTTGAAAAGAGCAAAAAAATTGTAAACCTTAGGAGTGTTCTACGCTGCATTTTAATGGAGTATCGATTGAATTCATCGACTATAAATCAAATATAAATTTTAACATTGTTTTCTGTTACAGTTTATATCAGAACTAGAAGTAGCCGAAGAAAATATGTTAGACAACCATAAACAAACCATAGACGAGCTGGAAGCAACTTTAGTCAAAGCATCCGAACTGCGACGAATGGCCGACACAGTAGCGTACGACCAAGAGGCCTACTGTAAGAGCTGGGAAGAGCTCATCGATAATTCTCTCTCTATTTTGGTTCGAGCAAAAGAGATAGTCGAGGATTACAAAGGAAAGTTGGCAGCTGAGGAACAACTTAGCCGCAAAACCACGAAACGAAAGTAAAACCTTTTTACCGATATAATTATATGCGCTACCACATTTGAAACTATTCTTAACAAATCTGGGTGATTTTTAAACCGTCTTTATTATTTTATTGTTATTTAAACTGTTAATATACCTAACGTGTTTGAGGTGGCAGTACTGCCTGTTGTAGGTTTAAAGAGAGTAATGATAGTACCAAGTATCTTGGTTTAATATAATGTTCATCAAAAAGCGTTTTTCATACGGAAAAGTTGTTCTATTTTACTTGTAAATATGTTCAAATTTTAATTTTTTATAATTGTAACGAAAAAACACAAGAAATATTTTAGTATTTATAATTTTCATTTTTTTAGCTCTAAGAACGTTTTTTGATTTAAGATAATTTGAATTAAAGTATTGTGTCAAGTTACATTGATTCTTTTTCGTTGTTTTACATATCAATGTATATAATGCTATATATAACGACGTTTCAGTTTTTTCTTCAGTTATTAGCGATTGTTATCACCAAGAGATATTAATTAAGAAGCTCTAACCTAAATATTTCTACTCTTCGTAATGTTCACGTGGTTGTAGTATAAAAATTTACTCGATATCAATAGATATTTTTTAACAAAAGAATATCTAGGCATTATTTGCTTCACGTCACCTGAAACAGATGAAACATTATTTTTATTATAGTTTCTTTGCGTTTAAGGATATATTTTATTAGGTGCAAGTATCTTACCACAAGAAAAAATGTATGTGGCAAGTCTTGCTATTGAAAAACTTGTTCAGTAAAGACACTAAACCGTTAAGGAAGCAATTTGAGTTTCATCCAATAGTTGATGTTATTTAACGGAGATTTGTTTTAAATATATTACTAGAAGCGTAAGTTTTAGACACCTTTTTTTGCCTCAGTTGTACAGAAGAATATTTTGATGGGTAAAAATCTTTATAATACTTATCTTGCTTTGCATGAAATAGCACCTTAGTACTTTCCTGATAGAATCCTGTAGAATACCAAGTATCAAACTAAACTGTATCAATCGATTTTGACGCGTTGTTTTTTCTTGCTGATTTTTATTATAATATATGATAATTATTTCTTTTTTGTTTATTTATATACTTTCATGTTCTTTTAAACGGCATACATATCATTTTCGCTACGTTCTATGAATTTTCCTTTCGAGATTTACATCACAACTCTAGAATTTCAGTGTTCCAAATTGTAGAATGATAATTTCGAAATATTGTCGTTTGAAAATTCACTCATTACAATTCCGTAATAATCTAAATACTTTCATGTTCTTTTAAACGGCATACATATCATTTTCCCTACGTTCTATGAGTTTTCCTTAGAGATTTACGTCACAACTCTAGAATTTCAGTGTTCTAAATTGTAGAATGATAATTTCGAAATATTGTCGTTTGAAAACTCACTCATTACAATTCCGTAATAATCTATATACATTCATGTTCTTTTAAACGGCATACATATCATTTTCCCTATGTTCTATGAGTTTTTCTTTGAGATTTACATCACAACTCTAGAATTTCAGTGTTCTAAATTGTAGAATGATAATTTCGAAATATTGTCGTTTGAAAACTCACTCATTACAATTCCGTAATAATCTATATACTTTCATGTTCTTTTAAACGGCATACATATCATTTTTCCTATGTTCTATGAGTTTTCCTTTGAGATTTACATCATAACTCTAGAATTTCAGTGTTCTAAATTGTAGAATGATAATTTCGAAATATTGTCGTTTGAAAACTCACTCATTACAATTCCGTAATAATCTATATACTTTCATGTTCTTTTAAACGGCATACATATCATTTTCCCTATGTTCTATGAGTTTTCCTTTGAGATTTACATCATAACTCTAGAATTTCAGTGTTCTAAATTGTAGAATGATAATTTCGAAATATTGTCGTTTGAAAACTCACTCATTACAATTCCGTAATAATCTATATACTTTCATGTTCTTTTAAACGGCATACATATCATTTTCCCTATGTTCTATGAGTTTTCCTTTGAGATTTACATCATAACTCTAGAATTTCAGTGTTCTAAATTGTAGAATGATAATTTCGAAATATTGTCGTTTGAAAACTCACTCATTACAATTCCGTAATAAAGTTGATTGTTACATGCCATTTGTTAGCAGCAAGATGAAGCTGGAGTGAAGTTTGAAGTTTAATTTACTGTATATAAAAACTTTGTTAATAAAAAAATCTGAAATTTAGCAAAATTTTGTGTGCTTTAATTCTAAGGTACCGAGATTATACATAAACGTCGCACCGCTGTACATGTTAGACTACTTTTTGTTACAGTACATCAGAAATAACTGAAACCGCGATCTGCGCCAACTTCAGGCATGACAAAACTTCTGAAGCCACCGCGTTGCCAAATCAATAGTATTTTACACCTTAAATTTGTAAGCTGCTAACATATTAACATTGATGCATACAGTAGTAGAAATACTATACCGATTTTATAATATATTAAGAATAAATTAATTTAGGGAAGTTAAAATGTTGGACACAATTAGTAAAATGAGTTATTTGGGATTTTGCACTTTACCAGAACTCACTATTGCAGAAGTTACAAGGTTTTCTGGCAATGCAGCAAGACGACGAATTTCGGATCAGCATCGTACCGAGTATCGTCTTTTTAATTTACTGCACAAATCTCCTTAGCCGTTTTAGCTATGTTTGTCTAGTATAGTCAACTCAGTGTTGTTACGTTTGGTACATTTCTTGAATTTTTCCTTTATATTTCATTTGGTTAATATTGGTAACACGAACACATTGTTGATTAATATTTTGTATTAAAAACAATTTTTCCGTATGATTGAAATTTTGTGATGGATTACAGAAATCAAATTGTCCAAGCGTACAAGCAAACAATACCAAAAATATGTTTTATATACAACATTTCTATAAGTAAAAACAAAAAAATTATAATAAACAGAATCTTTTGTTCGATTTTTGAAATTATTCACAATTTATGTTTATATCTAGCAACGAATATGCATTAAAGTCCTCTTTAAAGATTGATCTATTACTACGATTAGATTGAGTTTGTTTAATTTTTCAATATACACCTCATTTTAATACACTCTAAGAGATAAGTTTTAAGTACTGTTTCGTTGTTTATATATTGCCTATAAATTTAAAAATATCATTCTCTAACTGTTGTTAAAATAAAAAAAATTAATCAAAATTTAATAATTTGTAAAACATCACATTTTATGTAAAGTCTGTTTAAAGTCTACCTTTTTTGTTTGTCTCTATTTAAATTCTACCACACTTTAATAAAACGCTAAATATTTAAATAAAGCCAAACTGGTATTCTTTGAGGCCGACATTACTTTTTTTTAATTAATAATCAAAGCAATTTTTATTTGTAAGTAATTCATGCTAAGAATGTGAAAATTTCTGAGATTGTTAATACAAACTACAAAAATATGTATATATAGTAGAACATTTTCGAGTCAGAAATAATCTTTGGTTGATTTAGACTTAAGTATTAACTATTTCACAATTTAGAACAAAACACGATGGCCACATTGGTATATAGATATTGAAATGGTCTAAAAAACCACTTTTTGTTAGTAATTTACTAGTAGTAACGATGAGAATAAAGACTTGAAGAAAAAATTGTCAAAGGCAGGTTTATTTTAATAAAATAAGGATCCTTAGACAATTTTAATAAAACGGAAAGAAAAAGCACATTTTTAAAAATTGGATGTTATTAAAATAAAGACATGCCCTATTCACATTTATAATAACTCCAACACAGCATTCCATATTTATAACGGTACATTGTAATCGGGGGTTTATAGACCAAGGTCTGGATTTTATATTTCTTCCTAACATTATCAGATATATGTGAGAGTAGGCGTACAGATATTTCTTGCCGTTCGGATGTATTTTTGGTGGTATTCCTCGTATACTCTAGATACTCAGATAACCTAGAAACATCATCAATAAGTGGTGGATCGAAACGGCCGGATTACATCTACTCCTGCGTCGTCGTTGATATTTGCCGCAGTTGTAGATAAAACATCTGAAGTCAGCTTCTATGTAGACGACCTGGATTATAAAACCTTATAGCATCTTCTATCCTCAAGGAGGATCGATTTGAAAGACTCGTGCCCACAGTTCCACCAAATTAATTGTCCGTCTCTCTTTTCTTTGGCAGAGTTCTCATCCGTTGGTGTTGAAAGATCTGAAGATTTCAGATTGATATCCAAAACGGTTACATTCTCCGTAAGCTATCTACAAGACCTCCTCAAGATTGGTCCTTGTAAATGATATAATAGATATACAATCGCTAAGTTCTTAGCTGCTAGCGTTGCCATATGACAACGCCTAGTTTTTCAGATAAATTTAGTAGAATCTTTTATGCGAGAAGCTTAAAATTAGTCAGTTCATAAAGGCAAAATATTCAACAACAAATTGTGATGTACAAGACTAGCCACAGAAAATAATAAAAATAATTATATAAAAATATAAAGTCGATGTTTGTTTTTCACTTTTGCCGCTGACACTTTCAAGGAACAAGTTATAAACACCACAACGCACCAATGTACGATTATTTTCTAATACTTTTGAAGTATTTGTCGATACATCTAACGCCATCTGTGACTAGAACTTTTATATACATTTCTATATATTTTTAGAACTTTTAGATATGATAATGTAGCTACCTAAAATAGATACAGTTTTATGTTGCCATGTGGTAAAAAAGAACCAGATTTTGATAGATTAACAATATCCGTTTATACTGTCTAAACACAAAAATTTTTCCCTTTGGACAAAGAGACCAGATTTTTGTTCCAAGGCAGTAGTTTTCACCCACAAATCAAATAGAATTACCGTCACTGAAACCTTAAAACCAACCATTTCTAGCAGAAAATCTAATCCAATTACAGAACCTCTCTCTCTCTCTCTACCTCCCTCCCTCACCCTCTCTCTTACTCTCAAATCGAGCCCCGGTCTCCTCCAAACTATACCTCCAACCTTGCTTTAGTGTCAGGAGTTCTCTTAAAAGTTTTTATTACAAACGCTTTCATGATTAACCTTGAACCTACACAATAGAGAAAGGAAATATACAATTCTCAATACTGCCTGCCGTATTCTACAAGTTGAATGTCATACCTGCTTTTGTTATTTTAGATATTCATTTTATGTGTTGTTGGTTACACTTCGTTTTATAACATAAGTTTTTTTGTTTTCTTTCGTCGATATCAAGCCAAGGTTAACATGTTTTTTTTTTACTGAAATTTCTACACATTCCAAAAAGGTTCGAAGACTGTTCAATATCTAAACAATGTGTTCACGTCTTGTGTGACTTTTAAAAGACACCAGTTTTAACATAAAAGATCTGAATTTAGCAATTCGAATTGTTACTAGGAGAGTACTGAAGTAGCGGTTTGAACTAGCACCGTATTTTATTTAAACTGTATGTGGAGCAAGACATCATCAAAATAACTTGAGCAAATTGGATTACAAGTCACAACAAAAGTGACTGTTGAAAGAGCGATAAGAATCATTTTGTTTCGTGACAAATTTTGACATATTTTCGGTGTCCTCCAAATCAATAAAAAGTTTAAATTTGCAATCGAAAATTTTAAATTAGTAGTTATTTGCTGGATGCTGGTTAATGCGAAAAGTCAACATAGTGGGCACTCAAGATCAAATGAAAAGCCTCAATTAGCAGGTCATTTTCGGCGTATCTTAAAATTTTGCTATTAAGCGATTTCCGATCAAATAAAAAAATACTTGTTAGGTCACTAACCTAAAAAGATAATATAATGCGTAGACATTGCGATTTACTTGCCAATTCCATAATAAGGTAATTTAGAAACAATTTTAGCAATTTAAGCAATTTTTTTTAAACTTTTTCTAACAAAAAAGTTTTCCAGAAGACTTATTTTTCTTAACTTTATATACTATTTGAAATAATCACCTTGTGTCTAATAGGTAATATTTTTATATAGCTTAACATTTAATTTCATTATAAAAGGAAGGTAATTATTTCAAATGATACTCTAATTATTAAAAATGTATACAAGATATTTAGACAATTTCAAAAACGTCATTTATTTTAACTGTTTCTATTTTAACAATTTTATATATACATTTTTTTTGTTTCGATTATCTTGAGCATTGCTCACTAAACGAATTGGAGCATATGCCGAAATTAATCAACTACTTTAGGGCTTTTATTTGACATAATATACCTTAATCCACATATTACTGAAACTATTTTTTTATTTTATCTTTACTTGAAGGAACTATAAGGAAATGTGTCATATTAACGACAAAAAATACTAAAATAATAATTTTTGCATGAGCTGTCAAAATATGTCATGTTCTTTTAAAAGTACAGCAGTAAGAAGCAGTATATATTAGAAAGTAAAACTTTATTAATACAAAAATAATTACAATGTATGGAAATACATTGTTAAAACATTGTTTAGGGTGTAATGGTATTTTACATTTTTCGCACAAAAATTGAAACTTTTTCTTGCAAAGTCCGCAACGAGATTGTTTTTCTTGATAAATAATTAAATGGTTCATACCATTATATCTTGAATATAAGATCTAGTTGTAATTCCTTTTTGTTGAGCCGCGTTTGGTATTTTTTTTTGTAGGTTTCCAGAAGGTTACAAGTTATTTGCCTTACAAATTCAAGCTGATCAAGGTTTCCTCCGTCTTTTCAATCTAATTGCCACGCGTTTGAAATAGCCATGTCAATTCCATGTACTATTAGCAGAAAGTACCATTTTTTCCCTCTTACAGAGATCCGGTAAGACTAATGTTTTGGTCACAGCGGTCTACGCCACCCATAAAAGAATTGTATTGCTTTATCATATATATATATATAAGGTTCCTTTTGGTAATTAGTAACACAACTGAGTTTCTGAAATTAAAGATTTATTAAAACATGTTCTATTTACATTATTTACACAAAATTTTACCTGAAATTAAAGAAACGACATTTAATGTCACTAACTATGAATGTTTTAACATTCCTATCCTAAGCACAAATAATCTCTGACAAAATGACAAGTTTTTTAAATATAAAGATGACAGAAGTGGTTGTGTCTAATATTCCAGATAACGTGTTCGGTAGAGCGCGGCAATATTTGAATGATGAAATTATAATTTCATTACATCCCCCCTTCCCAGAGGAGAAAATATTCATGCCTTCAAATGTTTAGTAGTCGTCTACGTCTTCTTCATCTTGTTCTACATCTTCAGGTGTTGAGATTGGAGTCAGCTTGGATATGTGGAACAGATTAGACTCTAATTTTCTTCGGTTCAGGTTTATTCTGTAAATTGAATTTGACAATTTTTCCGTAATTTCATATGGTCCTACTTTTAGTTCGTCAAGTTTATTCCTGTTTAATTTGTTTCCATTTTCCACATATACCAAATCACCTATCTTGAAATCAAAATGTTTACGATTTTTGTCATAAATTTGTTTATTATAATTATGAGATTTGATCGTTCTGTCTAAAGCAATATTTCTGTTACGAATCCAATCTTTCTCAGAAGTTAATATTTTTAGTTCATTTGGCAACATTGCAACATTTTTGCCATACATTAAGTATGATGGTGCGAAACCAGTGACAGTATGTTCTGTTTCATTGTATTTGCGCACACATTCTTGTGCTATTGTTGTCCAAGAAGTTTTTTGTTCTTTTTCGTTAATTTTGCATCTGATTTTATTAATTAGGGTCTGATTTAATCTTTCATTCAAGCCGTTAGAAAATGGTGAATTTGTGGCAGTGAAGATTATTGGTATAAATTTTTCATCTAAAAAATTTTTAAAATTTTTTGAATTTATTCCTGGGTATTGGTTGTTAGAATCATACCAATCTGATTTGTCTCTGATATGCTTTTCACAAGTTTAATAAAATCATTAGCAGTT